TTTGTTGAGATTATAAGAGTACCGATTTTGATGGTGATACATAGCACAGATGCTCAGTGATTTTATCGTAGTTTCATTTGGTTGCAATGCTATAACATATACCAGTATTTTTTAATAGATCTTCATGACATCAATGGCAGTTTACATCGTCGTGTTTAACCTTAACGTCAATCTGGATGACAAGGCCGTTGTAATGGATTCATCAGGGGTAAATTTAGTATTATTAATATATATTTCATTAAATGTTTTTTAAAAGGACATTTGTATATTTTCCAATATCAACACCTTTATCTGTTATTTATAGTACTGTTTTGTTATAGCACATTATAGGACATATTGCTGTATAAAGTTGTAGTATATATATAGACATTAACAAATATTAGTTTTGAAAATGTGTTATTATTGTCACATTTACATCATCTTTCTCATTATAATTATATTATCGTTTATCATAATTATATTACTTTATCTTTGTTATAATTTCCATTATTTTTATACCATTATTATCATAGTTATTGTTATTGTTATTTATTATTATATAAAACATTTATTATAAAAAATAATTTTCAACCAATATTATGCTATGAAATCATCTTTTGTTATTTGTTTTCCTTTCAAGCAAATGCGCATTCACCACCTGACAAACCTTGAGTTCATATTATATTGGATTTTGTCAGCGTACATTCACAGCCGTGAGTTAAAAGATGACCTGAAGCGACAGATTGCATTACCGGCTATTGTCCTCGTGGGTACCCACCGAGACTCCCTTGGATCCACTGAACAGGAAAGGATAAGCAAGGTTAATACTTATTGAAAGAATTGGAGCAGAATATAATTACTGTACACCAATAGTATACATACTCAGAGTTTTCAGAATGATGTCTATAACGTCATCTTGCAAACATTTTATAGAAATTAATACGGTAGACTGTATTATATTCTTATTCTTTGAAAACATAATTATATACCACTTGGTGTCTGTTATCAATGTCCAAGAACCTTTGTATGGTTGGTATGGCCATAATTCTGATCATTTTAGCCTATCAAATGTTTAAAAAGCTAGAGGCACTATCATTATGGTCGTGATGGCTGACTATACCTTTGACAATACACGGTTAAGAAAATTGATAAATTATTTATTACCAAATTATATGACCAGGTAAAGGTAGTGTTCAACAAAATAGAAAAGGCACTGATGGGTAAACCATACGAAAAGCATGTGTACCCAACATACTTTGACATCGAAAATAATTGTTCAGAAGTTGATGCCAATATTGCTAAGCTGAAGAAAGTGCTTGATGATCTCATGACAGCATTGGACAAGCCCATTCCATTGAAATGGATGCACTTCCGTAGCGAAATTCATAAGTTAAAGGATACAACAGTAGTCTGTCCTTTGAAAAAGGTAAATTTTTTTAATTAAATATTTTGTTGTACAGTATTTGTTTTACAGTAATTACTGTTAAATATTTGTGGTCAGTAATTATCATAAAATTTAGGCTATATTAAAATATTTTTGTCCATCTTACAATATTTCTGAAAATTATTTAGTAGTTAAGTGGAGTGATATGAAATCCCCCCCTCCCCCCCAAAAAGTGCTAAAAAATCAACACTTCCGCTTTTGTCGACGTTGTAAACGATGAATGTTTAAAAAAAACACTCGTACACACTTACTGTGATATTTTCAATAAAATCAAAAGTTTCATCAGCATTTTGGAATTCTCCGAAATGGTACATCAAGTTAGCATAAATTAGAAATAGTGTTACTGCATAAATTGACAAAGTACTGCTAAAACTGCAGCAGTGTTGAAAGTTTTGAGTTCGTTAATTAAAAAATAATTCATCTTTTTACACCATATTCAAATGTAGAAACAAATATTTCTCGTTAACAACAAAACATTAATTAACCCGAAGCTTCATTCAAGTATTAATTGTTACTTAAGGTGAAAGAATTGGCTGCCAAGTTTGGAATAAACGAGGAAAATCAACAAAGTGTCCTATTGAACTTCTTGTATGACCTTGGCGAAATCATATACATGCCTGACAACAAGGTTTTACAAGAGTACGTGGTATTGAATCCAATGCATTTTGTTGAAATGGTCACAACAGTCATCACTGTGAAACAACCCAACTTGGAGGTAAGAATAAACTTATCCCTTGTATTGAATATATAGATTGGTGGTTACGATGATCGATTTCCAATTCCATAGTCATATGTTCAAATTCTGTAACAGTATGGGTTTTTTTTTTTTTTTTTTTTTTGTTTGCACGACTAATAAACCTCTCCACTCCATAGTCTTAACTTCGAAACCTTGACTTAGAAGTACCGGGATGGTGTCCGACGAGGGTTAGGTTAATCCTTGTTTAGTGTAGGTTTTCAAATTCAAAATGCTGTTGTTAAAATTTTAGCCCCAATAGTTTGTTAAAATAATCATAATTGATTTTTACCTCTCCTGTTTTGTAATCTTGACCCCGAAACATTGACTCAGAAATACCGGGTTGGTGTCCGACGGGTATAGTTTTTACCATATTATATTTAAGTCAATGTAGTTGAGCCCAACCTTAAAATTTCTTGCCCCGAAACCTTGACTCAGAAATACTGTGTTGGTGTCCGGCGAGGGATGTTTTTTTTTTATCATACTGTAGGTAAGCAAATATAATTAAACCAAACCATGTAATTCCTTGCCCCGAAACCCTTGACTCAGAAATACCGACTGGGAATGGTTTTCCACCCTAATTTAGGGTTTATGTAAAGTGCCTAGAGGGATATGAGATGCTATACAAATACTTTATTATAATTATTAATGAGACCTAGTATATAAAGCCTCAAATTATTTTCCTTTATTTAAGACATTTCCGAATATCAGTCACCTTCTTTAAAATGGTATGAAAATCATATGTTTTGTTCAGTCTGAAATAGTAAAAAAAATCATAATGTTCTTTCTGTGTTATTTCAGTCAGCCCTGTATAAAGACCTCTACAGAAAACTTAACGAGGGTATATTAGAGGAGCCGTTGTTCAAGAAGCTTTTGGAAGATCGTGGTGTTGATTTGAAGAAGTTTGACTTTTTTGTCGAGTTGATGAGACGATTTTGTCTTCTTTGTGAGAGAAAAGTAAGTTTAAATTGTATTACAACAAGACTTTAAATTATTTAGCTATGGATTGATAAATACGTCAAATGCAAATGTTATATAATACCATGCAGACTCCAAAAAGACTAAGAGAAGCCATGATTCAATATTTTGTTTTTTATTCGAACATCATCAGGAATGAAATATAATTCTGTCCATAGGGACCATATACCAGAATTTAAGTAACTTAACTAACCAATCAAAAGCGAGAAACCGGTAAAATTGACAAAACAAGGTGCGACATATTATTAATGAATTAACAGCATACCTTAAAACAAAATCAGTCTTGATAAAGTGTGAACACATAATTAATATGAATAAATAAATAAACTTGATGTTAATGGCTAGTTCAACAATGCAAGTTCTTTGGATGCTTTTTATCCAGTATTTAAACATGGTTTATAGCGCCTAATAGCCAAATTTTGTTTAGTTATGAATACATACTGTGGGTGAAACTGAAGAGAGCAACAATGCAGTCGGATAGAATTTATTACAAGTTCAGCAATATTTCATGATTGGTTGCTCTTTATTATGAATATAATATCGCTTTCATTAAAATGTGTTATATATTTTTTGATAGGCAGCCAAACCAGGAAACCGTTCTTTCTTTGTCCCACTTCGACTGGCACTTGAACCATCGTCAGATGACCATGGACGGGTCGACAGTTATGGTGAGCGTGCTATTAGCATTTACCATGACTTCTGTGGATACCTTCCAGACGAGTTGTTTCCACAGCTGGTTACAGAGTTTATCGACAGGTTTCAAGACGAACAAGGAAATGAACAACCAAAGCTGGCACGTGATCATGCAGAACTTTACTTCGATCAACATCATCGTGTAATAATGTCTGCAATTACTTTTGGACTAAACCGACTGCTGAGGGTAATACATGTTTTTTTGTATGAATTTTGTAAAATTCTATTACACTATATTACTCCATATTTGATATTGGTAAATACTCTTATGTATTTCTAATATTGCTAGTTTTATTACGTTTATTTCCATTTGTCATTTCTTTATTACACTTTAAGCAGATCACTTCAATGGGACAAACTAGCTCTCAATAATTGTGTTTAATGATCCATGACAGTCGACTCTCTTAATGTTTCTTCAGTGTTGTTGTTGCTTTTTTTTTTATGTTTGATGTTTCTGATCTTTTAAATGTTTTCGTTTAAGCCAGTTCACTGTCAAGGAACCTGTTTTATTTTTTTGTGTTATTGACTTTATTATGCGTTAAAAGACTATATAATAAATGAAATGGTTTCCCTTCAGACAACTATTCTTAGAAGGAAGCGAGACGACGTAGCACAGAAAGACCTCGAACCATTACCAGAAGCCTGTAAAACGGTATGTTGTAATTCCTCTAAAAATAATGATATTAACCTATTGTGTGATTATTAAGTCACTTAGCCTAATAGTCTTATTTAGTATTTGGTTTAACCCTGCCAAACCTTCTTACAACCTACTATATTGACAGCATGATCTATGTCTCATCAAAAATGAGTTAAACAATATAACGAGTGTTTCAAAGAAGCAGGGTTTTTTTTTAATTTTTGGTAGGTTTTGGAGTTTCTTGAGGAGTCATTCGAGGTCTCCCAACAGGGTGGCAGGAGGGGGTTTCAATTCCAACGATGTATACCTTGCAGCATTTGCAGCAAGAATTCACCAAAGAAACACATACAATGGCTGGGGAACTTTGAAAAGGAATGCCTTCCATGCAATGATGATGCAATGAGTGTCGTACGCTATAAACGACTATTTGCAGGTAAGATTGGAAAAATCGTTCTTGATTGTAAGTGTTGCTTATAATGCATAATGAATTGTCATTAGGCAGATGCTAGATAACTAAAATGACATACTTTAATTATTATTTAAACTGTTGAGGAATGCGACTGATAATAATTGTAACATAATAATTACTTTTTAAAATCCCATTCAAACGAAATTAAACTAAAATTAATTTTGAAGATATAAAAAAAGAATAGGTATGTGATTTTTATGATTAATTGGGAATTTATTGATGGTTTTACAGGTACTGTGGATTCAGGTGAACAACTCTCAGAAGACATGTCACATACTGAAGGTATGGCATTAATATAGATATTTTGAAATATAATTACGAAATTGTAGAATTTTTCAAAATATTTCTGATATTTGTACAGGGGCGGAGAGCCGGTGCCCCCTCCCCCGTCAATCCTGCCGAAAAATTAGAAAAGATGAAGAATAAATTGTTAAGTTATTAAAGGGAAGAAAGAGGAGGGAAAGGCATTTTACTCATGAGTTCAGTGGTTGATCCAGCAATGGGTGGAAGGAGAGCTTGATCATTTTACCCTCACTAATTTTGAATTTACTTGATTGATGACTATAAATAC